ACTCAGCAGGGAGGAGTGAGCCCACTGTCCCTGGAGGAGTTCCAGCATGGCAGGCGCGTGGATTCAGTGACCTCCGGGGTTCCTTTTCAGGGAAAGGGTTCCGTGGTCCCCTGGTTGGACTATTAGGCAAGCAGTGGGCACAGTGGGTGCTGCTGCCTGGACCTTGGGGCCCCCCGAGGCAGTGCCATCCCTGCTCCTTCCCTCGGCAGGGCAGGGCTCCCTCAGGGCTCCTCAGGTCCCCAAGGGTGAGCTCTGCTGTGGTCACCCTGATTTCCGCCCTGTGAGGGATGAAGATGTGCCGCACTGGCTCCGTCTCCCCGGCCTGTGTGCGGGGCCAGCTCTGTGAGGCCTTTGGGCCCCGCACAGCCCGACAGGGGAGCCGGCACAGGGTCCCAGCCCTTCAGACTCCAGATCACATTGGGGGCAGTGTCGGCTCCCTTTGGGGCCTGGCCTGATGAGTTGAGTTGCCGCCGCCGCTTCCTGGGAGCACCCCCGAAGGCAGGGGGCTGCAGGGAAGGGCTGGGGGCATCCTCTGAGGCCCGCCCGCCCTGTCGTCCCCCTGCAGCTGGCCATGGGCAAGATGATGGAGCAGGGCCCCGTGCTGATCATCACCTTCCAGGCCCAGCTGGTGATGGTGGTCAAGAACCCCAAAGGCGAGGTGGTGGAGGGCGACCCGGTGAGTGAGGGAGGCAGCAGGACGAGGCGGGTGCCCCGTGCAGGACCGGCTGGACGCCAGCCTCCGGCCAACCCGCACTGATGGCCCTTCAGAGCCAGGAGGTTCTGTGACGGTGTGGGGACAGCAGGGCAGTGCTGTGAGGAGGTCAAAGGGCAACCGGCCTGTCCAGTTTTACCAAGTCCTGAGTTGTAGCCTCTGCTCTGGCCCCAGACCCAGGCTGACACCCCATACCCCTCCCAGGTCCCTCCCAGCGTCCCCCTGTCCTGCCCTGGCAGCCTGGGCCCGCCCCTCTCGACAGCCCCTCGCCCGTGCGGGTGCTGCCCGCTGTGCCGCGGCCCTCACTCCCGCGCCCCCGCAGGACAAGGTGCTGCGCATGCTGTACGTGTGGGCGCTCTGCCGGGACCAGGACGAGCTCAACCCCTACGCGGCCTGGCGGCTGCTGGACATCTCCGCCTCCAGTACGGAGCAGACCCTCTGACGCGCCCGCGCTCCGGGGCCGGATCAGCCCGTGGCGGACACGCAGGGGGGCCGCCGTCCGCCTGCAGCCCCGGACCTCTGAGGACCCTACTGTCGGCTCGCCCTGCTCCCTCCCGGCTGGATGGGGAGGGGGTGCTGCTGAGGGCTGCTCCCCCAGTGCCAGCTGCTGTGCTGCCCTCTGACCTGCGAGGCTGCTGGCCAGCAGGTCACCAAGGAGCACAGGCGAGACAGTGCCAAGAGGCCCGGCCCCGGACTCCCTCGGGGGCAGGGTGGTGGGCCCAGGCCCGCCTCGGTGTGGCCTGCCTGCGGCCAGTCAGCCAGGCCGTTTTAGCTCCATGTTTTCACTAGTGCCCTTACGGTCATCCTGTACTTACCCGGAGATATGGAAATGAGAATAAAATGGCAACGTGCAGGAGAGCCCTCTGGGTGGTCCCAGGTGTCTGTCACTGGCGTAGGGGGAGCTGGGGCTTGGGGGGAGGAGCCCGCCGGGTGGTCATGGGGAGGCGGTCAAGGTCACTGGAGGATCGGCAGCCCTAGAGGGGAGCACCCTGCCTGCTCAGGACCCTGCCTCCACTGGGCGGGGTGGGCGGGGGGCCGGTGGCAAGAAAAGCTGGGGGGTTACTCCCAGTAATCCAGGCTGACCTGGCTGGTGTCCCTGAGCGCCGGGGTCCCCGGACTGGGGAGCTTGGGCGCCCCTGAGTGATGCTCAGGGGCACTGGGGTCTCCCAAATGGGGAGTCTGGGTGTGCGGTCCATCGCAGAGGAGAATGGGGGTGCGGGCGCTGCAGGTGGGATGCCGAGGAGGGCTCCTGGCCGCCCGGACTCCCCGGGGCGGGGCGGGACGGGGGCTGCGGTGTCGCGGAGCCCGGGGCGGGGTCGCGGGCCGCGCGCCGCTCCCTGCGCAGCCTCCGCCCCCCGCCGCGGTCCCGCCCCCGTCGCCATGGGAACAGCCGCGGCGGCCCGGCTCGCGCGCTGCTCGCTGGCCTCGGTCTCCGCCGCTCCAGGGGCGGGTGGGGTGGGCTGAGCCCGGGCCGCCGCCGCCGCCGCCGCCGGGGAGAGGCCGAGAGCGGAGCCGGCGCGGGTCCTGGAGGAGAGCGCGGCCGCCGGGCGCTCGGTCCCGGTCGCGGTGGAGGCCAGGGTGAGGGGCGCGGCGGGGCGGGGGCGGGGGAGGAGGTCCCCGGGCCGCCGAGAACAAAGGGAGCGGGCGCGGGAGCCGGGCCTCGTCCCCGCCGCGCCGCGGGCCGCGCGCTCGCACCTGTTGTGCGCGGCTCGGGCCGGTCGGGGCTCCCGGCCCCGCTGTCGGCGCCCCACCTGGGCGCACGGCCGGAGTTGGGTCCCGGCGTGGCGGCGGCGGCGGCGGCGTGCCCGCGGGCCGGGCGTGGGCGTAGCCCGGGGACAGAGGCGCGGGCGCGGGTGGGGGCGGCGGCAGGAGGGGGCGACGCGGGGCCGCGGGAGGGCGCCGCCTCATCCCCGCACCCCTGGTGGGCCCCCTCCTCCGCAGGGCGCGCGGCGATGTGAGCCATGAGCGCGACGTGGACACTGTCCCCCGAGCCGCTGCCGCCGTCGACGGGGCCCCCGGTGGGCGCGGGCCTGGACGCGGAGCAGCGCACCGTGTTCGCCTTCGTGCTGTGCCTGCTCGTGGTGCTGGTGCTGCTGATGGTGCGCTGCGTGCGCATCCTGCTCGACCCCTACAGCCGCATGCCCGCCTCGTCCTGGACCGACCACAAGGAGGCGCTCGAGCGCGGGCAGTTCGACTACGCGCTGGTCTGAGCCGGGGCGACCCGGGCCTGCCCTCCGCAGGGTCTCCCCCGGCTGCCCGACCGGGGCGCTCGGGATCCCGCCTCGGAGCCCGGCCCGAGGGGGCGGGGGCGTTAGGAGAAGTCCAGCCCCTCCCCGCTCAGACCCTCCCATCTTCCCTCCTGGCCAGGCCGGAGCCCCACTTCGTGCCTTTGTCCCGCCCTGTTGTCGCTCCGTAACCCACCGGCCCCGGGTGGGAAGAGGACCCGCCCCGCCCCGCCTCAGCGTGTAGGTGGCTCTGCTATTGTCCTGCCGCCGAGCATGAGTGTCATGGCCGTTCCTGGATGTGGGGACCCTCCTGTACCCCCTCCCCGCCCTGTCGTCTGGCCATCCTCACTCCCCCGCCCCCCGTAAGCGTGGAGCCCCTCCCCGGGCTCCGGCCCTGCGGGGCAGGCTCTCCTGGGCCCACGGGTGGACGCTGCATACCAATGTGCGCTGCGCAGCCTGCCCCGGAGACCGAGCCTGAAGAGCGACAGCGGCTGCTGTGTCCAGGATGCGTGGCGCCTTCCGTGGGGGGAGAGCGTGGCGGGCTCCCTCCCGCCCCCAGCCCGGGCCCCAGTTCAGGTCAGCGCCCCCTCCCTCTGTCACCGCTTCCGCCCCTCCTTGGCCCTCCTGCCACTTCGCCCTGATCCCTCTTGCCATCCCCTCACGGGCCTCCCCATGCCTTCTCATTCCCCGCCTCTGAGTGATGGTGACAATAAAAGCTATTGTTGAGCGCTTACTACCTGCCAAGCAGCGTGCTAAGTTAGCGCCTCGCCTCGGGCGCATGGCCTGTGCCCTCTTCAGGGCTCAGACGGCGAGCCCGTTAGCATCCCCGTTCCACAGGCTAGGAGACTGAGGCCCAGGCAGCTTGAGTGACTTGCCCATGCCAAGTGCCTGGATTCTGGCCGGGCTGGCATTTGAACCTGGGTCTGACTTCTGCACGCTCTTAACAGCTGTCCAGTTCTGCGGTAACACCCAGACCCACGCTCTGGGGGGACTGATGCGTGCCTGTCTCCATCCTCCCAGCTCCAGGCACAGCCAAGAGCCCCCCCCCCCCCCCCCCCACCCCCGGCTTCTTTCCCTTGACTTGGGGAGACTCTCCGGGCGGTCGAATGGCCTTAGCCCCGTGGGGAGCTGAGATGGGGCACCCTCAGCCAGCCCTGGTGGTTGTCTCCGAGAACTGGCACGGCCTCCCGGCGCCGTGACCACCGCTGCAGCCCCAAATCTCTGAGGCTGGTCCCTCCTGCCCACGGTTGCCGCGGGCACTTTGGGGACCGTGGGTCTGGTGCTGTGGGGCCGCGTGCACGGAGCAGGTTGGCTCCGCTCCACGGCTGCCCGCCTTGGGGATGAGTGGCACGCCCCCGGGGAGCTGTGTACAACGTGTGTGGGGAGAAGCAAGCGCGTCTATAAAAGGAAAGCAGTGTCAACGCACAGGCTGCGGGCAGAAAATTTACTGGCTCTCGGAGGACTAGTTGGGCTTGAGGGAGGGTGGCGCGGGGAGGAGACACTTGGTTCCCCACGCTTCCCACCTGCCCCTGAATCCAGACCCTCAGGGAGGCTGATGGAGAAGGACCCGGTGCCAGGAGACCCAGCAGCACCCCGGGGAATTGGGGCCTTGGGAGCAGCCAGGACTCCTGGCCCCTCTCTGATCCTAAGGCCCCTCCAGCTCCCCCTCCCTGTCTCCCTTCTCCCCTTGTTTCCCCAAGGCCACCTCAGGGACTCACTGCCCTCCCTTCCCGCGCCTGCCACATGGGGAGCCCACCCCTAACCCCCAGGGCCCCGGGCCTGGGTCCTGGCTCCTCCCACCTGGCCGCCCTCACTCTGCTGGCCTCTCCCTTCCATCTGTATGATGTGAGGTCACTTCGCTCTGAAAACCTTTCCCTGACACCTGTAGGGCACACTGTCACCAGCAGTCCCCTCATGGCCACACTGAGGTCACTGCAGGCAGCATCGGACTGGACGGGGAGGCAGCAGCCTTTGCTGATGACCGCACCTCGGTCCCCAGAAGCCCAAGCTCTGGCATTTTGGGCCCCCACTGCCATCATCTTTAACTCACAGGAGAAAGAGAGTACTGACAAGAACTTTATTGACAGTTACAGGAATAGAACAGAGGACGCAGGAAGGGACTGGGGGCAGTATTTGACAGTGGTTTTAACCCAGCTGCCTGCCCCCCCCCACGCGCTCCCTCCCCCAGCCCACTGAGTTCGTGGGCGAACCCCTGTACCACTGTGCTCCCCCTTTTGAGATTCCCGCAGTATTGAGCATCTCCAAGGCCACTCCGTTCTGTGCTGCATCGTGCCAGGGACCTTCCCCCGTGACCGGATCCTGACAAGCCCGTGCCAGCCCGAGCAGGCCTGAGGCCAGGGGACTCACAGATGTCTGCTGTGTCCTCTGCCTGCCGGGCCCTCACCTTGCAGGGGTGGCTGCCTGGCCCAGAAGCTCCAGGGGCACCAGGAACGGGTTCAGGGGACAGACCCCAGCTGCTTGCCAAGTGGATCTCGGCTCGCTGGGCCCGGCATTCTCAGGAGCCTGGGGCACGGCCTGGCCCGCCTCCTCTTCCCCCCCGGAGCCTGTCCCGCCATCCTCGGCTGCGGGCCCCAGGCCCCCACTGGCGGGGTCGGGCTGGGGGGCCGTCAGGCGTAGGTACGTCTCTGCCAGATGTTCAACCAGGGCAGCGCAGGGCAGGCGGGGCAGCTCCTCGGGCAGGGCCATGAGCAGGTCGAGGACCACAGCCGACTCTGGTGATGGAGGGAGGGAGGGCGGGCGGGGGTGAGGGGAGGGTGGGGCCTGCCGCCTGGGCCCCCCACCCCACAGCCCCGTCCCCATTCCTCTCACCAGCTGCAGAAAGCTCAGGGCCATGGCAGCTGCGGGAGATGGACGACAGGTACTTGTAGATCTTCTCAAAGTCCACGGCAAAATCTTCCTCAGTAGAGGGGCCGGCCAGGGATTCCGAAGACGCCTCAGGGGCTGGGCCAACTGTCTTAGGAGCGGGGCCAGAGGCCTCAGGGGCGGGGCCAGGAGCCTCAGGGGTGGAGCCATGTGTCTTAGGGGCGGGGCCAGGAGCCTCAGGGGTGGAGCCATGTGTCTTAGGGGCGGGGCCAGGGGCCTCAGGGCCCAGGGCCTCCTGCCCTCCGGGGGCGCTGACCAGCAGCAGCTTTCCGCGGGCCTGCGTGGGTTTGGGGGGCCTGGAGTGCAGGAGGCTGATGGGCTCCGTGGCCGCGATGGTGAGCACCTGGCAGGCAGAGAGATCAGTGGGGAAAGGCGGAAGTCCTCTGATCGGCGGCTCCCCGGCCCTGCACTCGGCTGGGACCCCCACCTGCTCACCGAATCGTCCCTGCCACCCTGAAGAAGGGTCACATCCAGGAGCTGGCCTCAGAAGCGGGGATACTGAGGCTCAGGGTGTCCAGGGACTGGCCAGAGGCACAGAGCTGGCGGGAGGGACGGCCCAGGACCCAGGTCCACCTCATCTAGACTCCTAGCTAGGTATGACCCTGTCCCTGGGACACGCCGGCCGGCCCGGGGGATGGCTGTACCTGGGAGAAAGCCACAGTCAGGGCTTCTTCCAGCGGGCCTGTCAGCTTCTCAGCCAGGTCCATCCACACCTGGGGGGGGCAACCAGAAGGGGCCTGGTCGGCCTGGGGACCAACCCTCAGGGGCCCCCACAGCCCTGCCCCTCCTAGGGACCCCCTGACAGCGTTATCCTCCCCAACTCCTTGCCCTGACACACCTCGATGGGGGCCGGGGTCTGTGTTTGCCGGTGCCTTGGGCCCTGGAGGCCACCTGGGTGCACCCTCTGAATGGCCTCCCGGGCCACGCGACCCTTGAGCTGCCGCAGGAAGTCCCGGATCTGGGGAGAGAGGAGGCGGCCTTCTGTAAGCCCAGGGCTCGGGGAGAGAAGCAGGAGCCCACTGCCTGCTCCAGGCCGGCCACTGCTCCCTGGCCTCCCGCGAGCCCGGTGAGAAGGGTCGCAGTGAGTCCGCTCGGGGGCTCGCAGGCCAAGGCCCCAGGTGGGACCAGCTACGAACAAGGATGGAAGGCCTGGGCCGGTTCTGGCTCCTCCCCGCAGCCAGGGCCACCCCCATGCTAAGCACCGCCCTATTCATTTCCTCGCTACGGTCACTCCGGCCCATTGCCCGACTGACTTCGACCTCACTCCCGCTGCGCCTTCCGCCCTATTAGTGGGCTCCGCTCCGGCCACGTCCCGCCCCTCGGCCTCCCGCAGTCCTGCCTCCTCCTGGCCCCGCCCCTCATCCTCACCTAGGCCCCGCCCCTGGCCCTCCCTTCAGCCTCTCACAGCACTGCCTCCTCTTCGCCCCGCCCTTCAGACTCACGTAGGCTCCGCCCCTGTCCGCCCCTCAGCCTCCCACAGCACCGCCTCCCCCTCGCCCCGCCCCTCAGCCTCTCGTACGCACTGCCCCCATCTCGCCCCGCCCCGCCCGCCCCTCAGCCTCCCACAGCACTGCCTCCTCCTCGCCCCGCCTCTCAGCCTCACGTAGGCCCCGCCCACTGGCCCCGCCTTCCCCCCAAGTTCGCCCCGCCCCCAGGCTCGCGTTCGCAACGCCCACGCCCCGCCCCTCAGCCTCTCACACGCACCCACCACCCAGCCTTCCACGAGTCCCGACCTCCTCCGGCACACACTCGGTTCCTCAGCCTCGCCCCGCCCCCGACCTCATCTCGCCCCGCCCACTCGAGGCCCCGCCCCCGCTCCACCTCGTCCCGCCTATCTCCAGGCCACGCCCCTAAGCCTCACCTCGTCCCGCCCACCCAGGCCCCGCCCGGGACCCATCCTAGCCCCGCCTCCAGCCTCGGGCCTTCCCGGGACCCCTCACCTCGGCCTCGCTGCGGCCCGGCAGCTCCCGCGCCAGCTCGGCGGCGTCGGGCTCCGGCTGGCCCCGCCGCGCTTGCAGCAGTCGTAGCAGCTGCCGCTTCTCACGGGCGCTCCAGGCCGCGGGGCCGGTCACCTCGCCAAGATAGCGCGCCGGGGCTGCCCGCCGCCGCTGCGGGGGCTTCATGCCGGCGCGGGAAGGCGGTGTCGGCGCTCCAGGGCCGTTTCCCCGGTGGGCGGGGCTACGGAGGCCGCTGGGGCCAGAAATCACCGCGCCGAGGCGGAAGCAGGTGGGGGCGTGGCTCCGCGTTGGCGGGCCGACTGGAGCCGCCCGGATGGGAAATGGTGGGCAGAGCGGCCTCCGAACGGAGGCGGGGCGAACGAGAAGCCTGCCCACCCCGCGTGTCGTCCCCTTCGCGTCCCGGAGCCGAGCCCTCCGATCTCGCGCCCTCCTCCGTTCTTGGACTGAGTCTTGTGAACCGCCTGTGTGCTTTGCTTCTCGAAGAGCGGTGGGCCCTGGCCGAAGGCAGCTGTCCAGTCGTAGCCAAGAGCCTGGGCTGGGGGGGTCGACCAGCCCTGGGGACCTTGAGCAGGTGATGGAGCCATGCGGCCGTGCTGAGCCCCAGTTTCCTCATCTGTAAAATGGAGCTAATAGTCCCCCTGTTGTCTGTGCTCTGGGCGGGGAGGTGCTCGGGCAGGAGACCTTGAAGCTCTTGACTGTGGAGGAGCCTGGAGCAGAGGCCGGGGAGCGAGGGCCTAGCGGGGGCAGGGTCCCGGTTTGGAAACACGCAGGAGGCGGGTGGGCCGGTGCAGGGGTGGAGGAAGGAGGCGGGGCCTATTTAAAACTTCAGCCAGTGAGGTTGGTCCCTTTCTGTTTGGGACAAAACGCCCTTGGGTCTCCCCTGGCCCGGATCTGCACACGTTGTGTGGGCCTATGAGCCACGCCCCCAAGCCCCACCCCTCCAGTCTGGACCTCTTCCATCCCGCATCCCCCAGTCCTGGCCCCAGGCCTCTGCTTCCTGGCCCCACCCCCGCGCCGCAGGCACACCCAGAGTTCAGACTTCTGCGGATCAGACCAGATGTTTATTTTGAGCCCAGGTGGGAGGGGGGGAGGAGGAGCGAGGGGGGCGGGGCGCAGGGATCGTGGTCCCATCGAGTCCGAGGTCCAGGACAGCCCGTCCAGTCCTGGCAGGCCTGGTCCGAGGCCGTGGCTGGTACATCTCCGAACCCTGCTGGGGGCGCGCCATCCCTGGGGTGGGGGGGCGACCCAGGCTGAGCGAGGAGGAGGACACAAGGCAGGCCACCCCCTTCCCAGCCGATCATTGGCCTCCCCATCAGTCTGTGTGCCGAATTCCCCTCGCCTAGTACGAGTCTGAGGTTTCAGGACCCCCTCTTGCGACACAGAGCCCCCAGTCGGCCGCGAGTGACTCATGCGTGAGTTCGAATCTCAGCTTCATCAAATTTTGTGACCTTGGACAGTTTACTTAATTTGAGAGAGTATCTCGTTTTTCTCATCTCTCATACGGGGATTATAATAGTATCTACCTGAAGGTTATGAGGATTAAATTAGTTAAAACGCGTAACATTTAGAACCCTGCCTGGCACAGAAAGGGCTTTGAAGGGCCATTGTCATCGTCTCCCTCCTCCAGCTGTCCCACCGTCCCCACGTGACACCCCCCCCACACACACGCACACACACACTCACCTGCCTCACTGGGGCCTCCTGGGCTGGAGGCCGCTGGGCGAGGCTCTCGGGGGCGGGCCGGGGGGCGCGGGCGCTGGAAGGGAGAGGCGGGCTGCCGAGCGGTAGGGGCTGCTGCGCGCGGGGCCGGGGCAAGGGCGCCCCCTGGGGGCTGCTGCGAGCGTGGCGGAGGCGAGTCTAGGGATGGTCGGGCCCGGCACGCGGGGATCGCGGCGCCCCGGGGTGCCGACGCGCGGGAACAGGCGAGGGGCCGGGCGGAGGTCTCGGCGGGCGGAGGGTGGTACCTGAGTGCGCGCAGACGAGGCCGAGCCCGGCGGCCAGCGCGGCACCCAGCACGAAGGCGGCCAACACCAGCGCCACCACCGGCGCGGGCTCCAGGGCCGCCGGGGCCGGCGCGGGAGGCTCGGGGCGCACGACTCTGCCGGGGACGCTCTTGGGGGGCCCTGTGGCGAGTACAACGCTGACACTGGGTCCAGGCCCCCCAGGGGTCCTCCCCAAACCCCCTTGGCCGGCCCCAGAGACCCCCGCGGAAGACGACTGCGCGCTCACTGGGGGGCGGCCGCGGCACGGTGACCACGATGGGCTGCGTCAGCGTGTGCAGGTGCGGGCTGTCGGCACCCGGGCTCTCGCCGCTGCCACTGCCGGCGCCCGCGCACGCCTCATCCTGAGGCAGACACTGGGGGAGGGGAGGCAAGAGATGGCGACGTCAGGCCCCGGGATCCAGGATCCCAAGAGATCTTAGTGTCCAGTACCCTTTGTAACCAGGAGTCCCGCCACTAGACCCCTGGAAGTCTGGTCCTTTGGGGGTCCCTCATCCAAGCCCCTGAGATATACAAGCAGCCAGGCTCCCGGCCCGCAAGGACCCCAAATTTCAGCGGCTGAAGGTGGTCACGCGACCCGGCTCTCTGAGCACCTAACCTGTGAAGCCCAGAGATTCAGCCCCTTAGTGACCTTCTGCATCCAGCCACCCAGCCCTGGAGGGACCTCCGAACCCCGCCCAAGGGACCCTGGAACCCTGCCCAAGGGGATCCCAGAGCCCGGCCCAGGAGGGAACTCAGTGCCCACTCCCTGTCCCGAGGAACCCTTGAGCAGAGCCCCACGGGCCCCTCGGGGATCCTTGCGCCCAGGCTCCAGCCCGAGAGAGACCCAGTGCCTACCCCAGTTCCGAGGGACCCCTGCCCCGGCTCCAAAGCGCCCCGACCCCCAGATCCCCAAACCCCAAGGAGCTCCTCCCTCAGATGCCAGAGGCGTTTATGCTCAGCCCCCGACGGTCTTTGGCCACCCAGCCATGCGCTCGCGCACCGGCGACGGTCGCGGCGGCATCAGAGACGCAGGCGCTTGGCGGCCTCCCCGGAGGCGGCGGCAGCGGCTCAGCTGGCAGTGCAGAAACTGCACGGAGGCGTTGAAGACCGGGCGCAGGAGGAAGCTGAAGCGCGCGGGGCGGGCGGCCCCGGGGCGCGGCGGCGGCGGTGGCGGCGGGAAGGCGACCGAGGCGTCGGCGGGGCAGCCCCCGCGCAGCAGGGCCAGGGCGGGCCCCGGGGCCGGACGCGAGGACGGTGTCACCGAGCAGCGGTGCACGGCCAGGCCCCAGCGCGGGGAGGCGCGGGCCAGGGCCGCCTGAGGGGCGGGGTCGCGGTCAGGGTAGGCCGTCTCTACCTGCCCCCACCCGGTTCCCGGGCGCCCCGCGTCCGCACCTGCACGAACACGCGGCTGTTGGCCGGGACCTCGAGCGGCCCCCCGCGGCGCGGGAAGGCGTCCTCCGAGTCCGACAGCTCCAGACTGAAAAGGGGTCGGCGCAGCCAGGGCCCAGGCGCCGCGGGGAACGGGGGCGCTGACGGGGAGAGAGGGTAGCACAGAGCGGGGAAGACGCGCTGCCCTTGTGCCATTGGGCCAAGTCCCCTAACCTGCTCGCCTCCGCTGCCTCCTTTGAGAAACGGGTGCAGCCGTGGTGGAGGATTCCCCCATGCTGGGCTCCATGCCCCCTTCACCTGGAGACCTCTGGACGTCACAGCCCGGACGCTGAGGCCGGGTGCAAAGCTGCGCGCCCCTGGGGAGGAGCCCCGCTTCCCGGGCCTAGATTTCTGCACACGCAGTGGGCGAGGAATCATGGCGGGGAGGGATTGAGGGGCCCCCATAGTGAAGGGGCAGCCTGGGTGGGCTCAGAGGTCCTCCTGTCCCAGACGCTCTGCAACCGAGGGGCTCTGGGGCTGCAGCAGGGCCGGCCTTGGGGGAGGGTGCTGGCCCACCCTTCCCTTTCTAAGGGGAGGGAGGTGTTGCCATCAGCAGGGAGCGGAAACGTGCTCTTCCCCAGCCCTTCTGGCCCAGCCCGAGCCCGGCCCATCCCAAGGGACTGGGGCTTCTCCTGGCCCAGGTTCCCCATGCCCAGGCTGAGCAGTGGCCGCACAGGGGGCGGCTCTGGGGAGCTCCCACAGGGGTGCATGCGCGCAGGCGCACACACACACTTGTCTGCTTCAGGAGGCCTTGGCTGGGGTCCTTGTCAACCGAGGTTCTCCGCCATTCAGGATGCGCACACACCTCCTAAAGCCTTTGTACACCACTCCGCGCCCCCCACAGCCCTGGGCCTCACCCTGGTTGCTGGGGGCTTTGAAGCAGCTGGGGGTCCCAGAGGACCTAGAATAGGGGACAGGGGCAGACCCACCTGCCACCCACCTCTGCTCCCCCAGGCGGGATGGACGAGAGGACAAGTTGAGAAAGAGCCACATGGGAACCCGAGTGTGATGCGGTCCACGTCCCCAGCCCATACGTACCAGGTGGCCGGCTGGGCAAGGTGGTCGTCCCTGGGAGCAGGGCCAGCAGCAGGAGAGTGACACCCAGCATGCTGGACTGGCGGAGGTGAGTGTGCAAGGGCTCACAGCAGAGGCGCCAGCCGGGGCAGCACTCAGGGCCGGCAGGTGGGCAGGCGGCCCTGGCCTTGGCTGGGTGGCCACCGCAGGAGGCAGGCCGAGGGGCGGGGCACTGAGGGGCTGACATCAGAGCCGGAGCCCAAGGCCTGCGGGGATTAAGGGCTCTCTCTGATGACCTGAGGCTACTGGGGGCGGAGGGAGCTCCCTCACACTGGCCACTTGATGCCTGACAAGTCACGACAAACACCCGCTACCAGCCCCAACCCTGCCTCAGTTTCCCCCCGATGTAGAGGCCTCATTGACCACAATGGCACCACTCCCCCAGCCGCCACCCCTTCAAGGCCAGGGCTCCCAGCCCTCTCCCACCCCTTGCTGCCAGGTGCCGCCATGCCCACGACACACAACAGACTCAGTGGAAGAAAAGGGAAGGGTTTTATTCTCAAGCGTCTAAGGATTTACAAACGAGGGCGTTTTGTTTTAAAAACGGACGGGGCAATACTGGCGGCCTGAGAGGGGTCTTGGGCCAGTGGGCTGGGCCAGGCCGCCCCAGGCCCCTGCCTGCCGGCTCCGCCCTCTGCCTGGTTGAGAGGGATGGCTGGTGACCGGTGACGCAGGGGAGGACGTGGGAGAGGGGGAACAGAGGCTCCCCCAGGACTTCCACTTAACACTGAAGGGGGAGGGTGGACACACACTCACAAAACAGAAAAGAAAGTTAAATAAAAAGAAACCGAGGCAGCCGGGCTTGGGCCTGCGCGGGCCCTGGGACCAGCCACGCGCCCTTCGGGCTCCCCGCTCAGGCCCCTGGGGCTGTGGGCCCGGGCAGGGAGGGAGCGGAGACCGGGCCTGTGGCCCCCCACCTTGCCCCATCCCCTCACAAAGGGGACTTGGGGCCAGAGAAGGTGGCCGTGCCCCTGGGGGGCAGAGAGAGGATGACTTGGAGTACTTCTGAAACATGCGGCATCTTGTGACTATGGCGAGTAAGGAGTCAGAGGATAGAGGCTACAGGGCGGCCTAAGTCTAGACGCGGCGGCTACATCCAGCGAGGGGCCTCACCTTTGGTGTGGTTGGTTTTTATGGTTTTGTGGGGTTTTTTTTTCTTTTTTTTTGTTACTTTGTTTGTTGTCCACTTGATTTGCATGCATGACCAACAAAAAGAAAGACCCCCCACCCTCCTGCTCTGGCTGCTGTGGAGGGCTGGGGGGACCACGGCCTGGCCTCCAGGCGGGCTAGGGACTGGCCAGCCCTGGGTGAGTCGAGGGGCGCTCAGGGGCACCATGAGGGCGTGACTGCCTCCGCACGCCCAGCCCTTGGCCTGCCCACCTCTGTCCCTGTCACACGTCCTCGAACCCCCGCATCCACTCCCTGCACCCTCCATCCTGCCTCCCTGGGCCCCGTGGCCCCCACTCCCGCCATCCCTTCCCTCTGCCGCCTCCCTGCTGCACCGGCGTCTCCTGCCCTCCACCTCGCCCCGCGCCTGCCTTCCCTGAAGGCCACCCTGGGTGGCCACGGCCCCTTGGGCTCCCTCCGCGCCCCCTGAGGTCCTCAACTCACCCCCTCAAGCTGTGGCCAGTCTCCAGCCCTGAGGGAGGAGAAGCCCCCACAGCCTACCTTCGGGACCAGTCTCTCCCGGGCTGGGCTGGGCCGATAATGCGCAGCGGCCCAGGCCCCCCGGCTCGGCCCCCAGCCCCCCACTGCCCACGGGTGGGCGGGTGGGGGCTCCCCCACAAGCAGCTCAACATGACTTTGGTAAAAGTTTCTGAAGGTACCGACAAACCCCATGAGACGAGCTCTTCTCCTCCCCCCACCCCCAAACGCCCCACCAAGTACAATAAAATACAATAAACTCCAAAAAGGACCCCCTGAGATCAAAGAGAGAGAGAGAGACAGAGAGAGACCGGCCCGGGGCCGGCTGCAGTCGCAATGCTCAGCACGCCTTCCCACGGCCAGGATGCCACTCATTGCTCGCTGGTGGCCTGTGGCCCCAGGGGTCCCGCGGGTGGGGGGGCAGGCTTGGGCCAGGAGAGAGGCAGAGGCAGGGAAGGCGATGGGAAAGCCAGAGAGGTAGAGAGGGAGGTGACAGAGAGGGAGACGGGGCCAGGAAGCGTGTGCGTGGGACAAGGCGGAGGGGAGAGCCCACGGGGGCGAGTGTGGGAGGGTGCAGGACGGGTGGCTCTCTCCCAGCCCCTGGGGGCCGCCCCAGCCCAGAGGTTACGGCTGAATAAATAGCGAGTCTGCTCGCGGCCTGCTGTCTTCCGTTCACAGTGTCTGTCGGGGGACGCACGGCCGGCTGAGCCCGGGTCAGGAAGGGCTGGGCCTGGTGGCCCGTCTGTCCACGGCTGGTGGGCAGGGAGTCGGGGGTGGCTCGGCGCCCCCTACTTTCTGTCCTCAGCCCTTGGCGGCCGTCCAGGTCCCAGGTCTCCCCTGGCGGGCAGCTGGGTGGCCGGGTGGGGCAGGGGGGCCTGTGGCCATGCCCCTGGCCCCCGGCAGGGCTGGCCGCCACCACGTGGCTACCTGAAGAAGGGCAGGTGGTGCTGGCTCAGGACTCCGCTAGTCCGGGGCGACTCAGTCTTCGCCATGACGTCCTTGAACCAGGATGCCACATCCACCTCCAGCGTCTCGTAGCGCCTGATGAAGCTGTGTTCCTGCGGGCCGAGGAGGGGCTTAGGCCCAGGGCACTTCCCTGCTGGCCTGGTGCTCAGGCCCTGGGCATCCATCTGAGGGCGGGTGGGGAAGGGACCGGGGCGGGGGCCTGGACAGGAGGGGAGAGCAGGTACTCACAAGTAGCTTATTATACTTTGGTCTCTTCCTGTGATCTTTAGTAAGGCTGGAGAGAGGGGAGGGAAGAGAGGTGAGAGTCAGGGAGAGGCCGGCACCACGTGCTCAGCTGCCCTCCCACAGAGCCAGGAGGCTGCAGGATCGTGGAAGGAGCCACTGCATCCTCTGGCACTGTGCTGACAAGTGGGAAGCCTGCCCCCAGTGGCAGGAGGGCCTCCCACCTGTTGAGAGCCTGAACTGGGTTGTGAGGTGCCCGTGGGAGAGGGGCGGGGGCTCCCTGGGGGAGACACTCGGCACGCAGAATTCTGTTCCAAGACCTTAGTTCACACTGTCCCGTGGGGAAGCCCAGGGTCCACCCTGCCAAATGCCCGCAAGGCCAGCTGTCCCCTCGGGCCGAGTCCAAACCCAACTCATGGCCCCCAGGGCTCAGCTCGGCTCCTGTGTGCAGTCCCTGCCACCAGCCCCTCCTCACTCAAGGCTACCCCACCCCCAACCAGGGGGACCCCCTCCATTCCCTCGGGCCCCGGATCCCCCGGCTGGCTGCCAGGAGCGCGGGGCCACACCTGACCTCGTCCCGCCTCCCAGCGCGGAGGGCCGGGCCGGGGGCTCCTCACCAGTCTTTGACGAAGGACTGGAAGTCCCCTGAGAAGCCCATGTGACCGGGCAGGAGCGGGGGCTCCTCCTGCAGGACCTTGGTGAGCACCTCAAAGTCCGTCTTGCAGTTCTTGTACGGAAACTGTCCCGTCGCCAGCTCCACCTGGACAGAGATGGCAGCTGGCCAGGTGGAGGACGGCTTCCGGCCCACCCTGGCTCCCTCCCTCCGTGCCGGGAGAAGACCTGGCCCCCAGCCCTCGGAAACAGGGCCCCATCTCACCAAGGAGATACCCAGGCTCCACACGTCGGCCCGGATGTCATAGTCTGGCTTGGTGGGGTCTGGAGGGTCGATGCGCTCAGGCTGCCAGTGGGAGAGGCGAGAGGGGAGGATGTCCCCTGTGGCTGGGGCAGGCGTGCCCCCAGGTGGCCCCCCAGCCCCCCAGCCCAGCGCTGCTGGGCCCCCACTTACTGCCATGTAGGCGGCGCAGCCAGCGCTCCGCGTCTTGGCTTTGGAGTCGACGAGGCGGCCGCTGATGCCGAAGTCGCACAGCTTGATCTGGCCCCGCTCGTCCAGCAGAATGTTGGAGGGCTTGACGTCTCGGTGGATCACGCCGTGCTTCTCCTTCAGGTAGTAGAGCGCCTTCACGATCTGCGGCGGGGATGGGGCGGGCACCAGTGATGGGGGGGCCAGGGCCTGAGGGCCACCCGCCTGCCCGGCCGCGCCCCTGCCCCGCCGCTCACCGCCACCGTCATCTTGCCCAGGATGCGCTCGGGGATGGGGCCCTGCATCCGCTTCTTGAGCTTCTCGGCGCACGTGCCCATGAGCTCCATGGCGATGAAGACGTCCGTCTGTGGGGCAGCAGGAAGTGGCTTGGGGGCTGCTGCATCCTCCTGCCCACCCCAGATGGTTCCATCCAGGCAGGGGGCGGGCGATGCTCGGAGCTGGCAGGGAAGCCCCTCCCACCCTCGGGGAGGGAGTCGGGCCCGGGGCCCGCAGGTGGGCAGGTGCGGGCTCACATTGGTGATGAAGGTCCCGAAGCACTGCACGATGTAGGGGCAGTCGTGGCTCTTGAGCACCACGTCCAGATCCATGAGGATGCGCTTGTTCTCTTCCTTGTTCCCCGAGCGCCGCATTTGCTGCATGGGACGGGAGAGGAGGGGAGCCTTAGCACGCAGGGTGGGGGCCACCCGGGGCGGGGGGGGGGGGGAGGGGGCTCACCTTGACGGCGATCACGTGCCCTGTCTTCCGGAAGCGCATCTTCCATACCTGGCCGCAAGTGCCACTGCCCATCTCCCCCAGGTTCTCCAGGTCGTTGATTTCTGCCTGGTAGCGCTGGGAAGGAAGGAGAGCCCAAGTTGGGGGTCGGGCCTCTGCCCCCTGCCCCCAAGGACCTACCCAGGTGTGGCCTACCCGCACCCCAGGGGCCAAGGGCAGGGCGGTACCTGGCCCCCGATGGTCAGGTAGCCCGTCTGCTTCATGATCTCCTGCAGCTTCTGGTCAATCTCAATGCTGGGGGGACACGGAGTAGGCGTTGGTGGACGGGGGATCCTGGCCGAGCCGAGGCCACCCCGGCCCCCTACACACCGGGGTTCCCACAGATTAAACCACCGTCCTCTGACACGCGCCTCCCGACCCCCCCACTGGCCAGCGGCCCCCCCCACTGGCCAGCGGCCCCACTCAGACAGCTCACCTCTCCATGCTGCGGGGTGTGAACAAGGTGGGTGGCAGCCCCAGCATGTGGCGGGGCCGGGCGGGCGGCGTAGGGTGTTGCGGGGAGCTCTCGGAAGACGGGGAGCGGCTGCCGCCATCATTAGCCAGCGGGAGCTGCAAGGCTGGGGGGGTGAGAACCAGGGGCGGGGAGGGGGTGAGCTCCCAGCTGGCCCCAGCTCCAGGGCTGGCATTCTGGGGGGCTTAGGACCCTGGTCCTCCCCTCCCT